ACCAGTCACACCATGATATATAAAATTTCTAGACTCTGTTTCCCCAGGACATAACAATAAATGGTATTGCTCTCATTTTTGGACTAAAATTTGGCCCTCCACGTAAATCAATGAGGCTTGACAACCTGAAGTCCTGAAACTATCACAATACGTGTTCTGCCAGGCACAGTGGCCCATGCCTGCAATCCCAGCACTTCTCAAGGCTGAAACAGGAGGATCACTTGATCCCACAAGTGCGAGGCCAGCCTGGGTAACATAGCAAGACCCTGTTTCTACAAAATAGAAAGATTAACCCGGTATAGTGGTGTGCCCCTGTGGTCCCAGCTACTTGGGAGACTGAGATGTGAAGATAACCTGAGCCTCAGAGGTAAAGGCAGCAGTGAGCCATGACTGTGCCACTGCACTCCAGCCTAGGCGACACAGTGAGATTTGTCACAAAAAAAAAAAGGAAGGAAGGAAGGGAGGGAGGGAGGGAGGGAGGGGAAGGAAAGAAAATGTGTTCTCTGTTAAACCTATCTGGGCTCAAGTCCTGGCTGTACCATTTGCTACTGCTGGTATGGCTTTAGATGAATACTCCTCTGAGCCTCAATACCCTCACTGGTTAAATGGAGAACCTACCTCATTTGGTGGTTGTTGATGATAAACAAGATTACACCTGTACAGTGCTTAGCGCGGTTGATGACACATAGTAAGCACCTTATTGTTGTTAGCAAAATAAGACTCTATGGTAGATAACACTATGCAAGTCATAAAATGTATCAGCGTTAACTTTTCTCAACAGATAGGGTGCTATTAAATGAATCACCAGCATAGTAAAATGACAGAAAGGAATATTACAGTGTAAAAGCATTTATGCATTTGTTTGACAACAGGCACAATTGAAATACAGTGATTCTGAAGGTCTTTAAATGGGTTGTACTTTGCCTTGTTAACTCACTATTTCCTGACTGGCAATAATTTTACTTAGTAATGCTCTGTGTTATGGTAAAAGCTAATGATAATAATGTATCGAGTATATTCTTTGTACCAGGCATGGTTATAAGTGCTATGTGAACACATTTAATCTTCACAGCAACTTTGAAGCAGGTTCTATTACTGTGTATATTTTACAGATGGGAAAACTGAGGGAGACAGTTCAAGTCTGGAGCCCTCATTCTTAAACTCTATGATATATACCAGAAATTCTATGATATAGCCTAGGTGCTAAATCTGGCCCTCCACCTGCTTTTTTAAATAAAGTTTTATTGGAACACACCCATGCCCACTCATTTACACATTGTGTAGAGCTGTTTCTATGTTATAGCTGCAGGGTGGAGTAGTTGCTAAAGAGACCATGTGGCCCACAAACCTTAAAACGCCTGCTCTCTGGTGCTTTACAGAAAAAGTTTGCCAACCCCTGATGTCAACTTTAAACTCGCAAAAAGACTGGAGTTTAGAAGGGAAAGAAATAATACCTAATAATAAAAATGCCTATGTTTAGTATTTACCATGGATTTATACATATTTATCTCACTTAATTCTCATAAGAATCCTGTGAAGTAAATAGTCTTTTTATTTCCATGTTAGAAATGAAGAATCTGGAGTTCAGAGGGATTAAATGACTTACACTGTAGGCTGGAGAGCAAACTCCATGAGTCTAGGGATCATGTGTCTTCATCATCATGTCCCTGTCACCTACCACGATGCTAGGACAGGGTGGACACTCAGAAAATAATTGCTAAATGAATGACAGTTACAAAGGTCACCCAGCTAGAGAATCCAGGTCTTCTTCTATTCCAGAGTTCTTTCTCCTGCCTCCACAGCTGTCTGACAGTTTGAAAAAAAAAAAAAAAAAAAAAAGGCTGTTGGGGGGGCTACTTTCCTTTGAGGTAGAATGAAGCACAGATTGGTTAACATGTCATTATGCTGTCAGTTGACAAATTTTTGCTATTACCTCCTTCTCCTTAGTCAGAGAAGATAATCAGACCAAAAGGCGGTTCGTTTCTCCTCCAATGCACAGTCACGGCGTTGAAAGTTTACTTGTCCTTGTGATTGGTGCATATTTAGACAAGATTAAAACTGACACCCTCATGAGATGGTAGTCACATGGAATCTGGGTTTTGGATGGATTTCAGGCAGAGCTCTGGCTGTCTTCCTCCCAACCCCTTGCCCCACCTCCTACCCAGTGATGAGTCACAGTACACAGCCGATTACCCTTCAAGAGCTGACCCAAGGCTTTTGTTTTCTTTCATCTTGCTTCATGTCGGTCATGTGAGGATCAGAGTATTAATAGAACATCGCCTCGGCCTTCTGAATCTTGCTGTTGGTCAGGGAGATACATGAAAGGTTTGGCCAGTCCCTTTGTGCCATTTTCACTCCTTTGTTGACTATCACATGCTGGTTGGTGGCAAAGCTAAACCACAGCATTTGGTGTGCTCACCACCCATGGCCATGGTCTCTACTGGTGTTTTGATTTCCTGCCTCTTTTAGCAGACACTCAGTGATCTCCTGACTTCCAATTAGATCGCCAGTACTAACTGTAACAAACCACCTCCTCCTCCCAGTCAGCTAGCCTCATCCCTCCCTGCATGTGGAAAAGATACAGAAGCCAGGGAGAAAAAGGAGTTTGGTTTAGGAGTGTTCATATATATATATATATATATATATATATATATATGTAAGTAAAATTACATTCAGGAAATTAAAAGTCTGTGTGTGGTTTAACAGGCTCCTGAGGGGCTGCATGGGGACAAAAATGTTATAGAAATGCCATGGAAGCAGAGATGCTCTGAACTGCCTAGGGCCTTGATCCAGAAGTTTCCATTCTCCTCTGCAACCCAATTTTTAACATTTCATTTTGCATGCTCAATAAACACTGAGCATGACACTGGGGTGGGTGCTGGAATTACTCAGCCTTGATTCCAGCACCCACCACAGTGTCATGCTCAGTGTTTATTGACCTGAAGTCAAGTTGGGCTGAGACCTGGCCAGGAGATGAAACTCTCTTGGAAAGTTTCCTCGGAACAGAGATCCTAGCTTCAATGTAAAGGAGGGGTCTCGGTTCCCTATGTCTCATCTATTGAGTCTCAGGCTAGATATTACCACAGTTGTTCTTGCGTCAACCTAATAGTTTTCTCTGGGGGCCTGGTGGGTTCTCATGAAGTTAATTATTTTCACTTTACATCAACCTCTTTTGTTATTTAAGTCTTTGAAAGAATGACGTGTGTCCTTTTACTTTCCTGTGTTGGATGGAGTCTGCTGAGTCCTCACTGGTTGTAGAGTGACTCTTAAGATGGGTCTCTTGAGCCTCACTTTGCTCATCTGTTAAGTGGGTTGAATTAGATGGTCTCTAAGACTCCTTCCAGTCTAAAGTTTCATTTTTCAACAATAGAATCTTTGTGGGTTTTTTATTTTTATTTTTCGAGATGGAGTCTTGCTCTGTTGCCGAGGCTGGAGTACAAGGGCGTAATCTCGGCTCACTGCAACCTCTACCTCCAGGGTGCAAGCAATTCTCCTGTCTCAGCTTCCCAAGTAGCTGGGATTACAGACATTTGCCACCACGCCCAGCTAATTTTTTTTATTTTTAGTAGAGATGGGGTTTCACCACATTGGCCAGGCTTGTCTCAAACTCCTGACCTCAAGTGATCCACCTGCCTTGGCCTCCCAAAGTGCTGAGATTACAGGCATGAGCCACTGTGCCTGGTCTTTATTTGTTTTTTAATCTTTCCACGTGGGTAAAGAATTTTGCTATGGAAGGAAAGAACGATTGGACTAAGTATGCACTAACTTCAGTTATTATCTTCATTTACTTTTGGCAATTGTGGGGGTGATGGGAGTGGGGACACTCTTTTTCAACAAACAAACTGGCCGGGCACAGTGGCTCACACCTATAATTCCAGCATTTGGGGAGGCCAAGGTGGGTGGATCGCCTGAGGTCAGGAGTTCGAGAGCAGCCTGGTCAACGTGGCAAAACCTCGTCTCTACTAAAAATACAAAAAGAAACATTAGCCAGGCATGGTGGCATATGCCTGTAATCCCAACTACTCAGGAGGCTGAGGCAGGAGAATCACTTGAACTCAGGAGGTGGAGGTTGCAGTGAGCCATGATCGCACCATTGCACTCCAGCCTGGGCAACAAAGCAAGACTCCATCTCAAAAACAAAACAAAACAAAAAACTAACCTTTATTTAGGACCTAATTAGTGCCAGGCACTTGCTGAGGGCTTTATGTGCATTCTCCCATTATTGGTCATAACAACCTTGGGAACTCCAGGTATTATTAATATAGGTGAACAAACTGGGTGGGGCACCAAGGAATGTAGTAACTTGCCCATCATCACAGAGCTAATATACGATCAAATCAAGACTTGAATCTAAGGCCAAGAGCTACAAGGATCCTAGTTTTTAGCCACAGTGACATCATACAAAATACATCCCTGAATTTCTCCCTTTTTCCCGTGATTGGCATCTTTCTACAGAAATTTAAGTGCAGTGAAAGAGTCTAATTAATAGACACATTTATTGAACACTGCAGAAGCAGGAGGTATCTGGATAAGACTTTCCACTTCCATGGAAAGTGCATATGGATGCTGAACATGGGCTTTAGGTGTCTTGTGAGCAGTCAGTGCCAATAAGGAAGAAGTTCATGCGGGGGCAGAAGAATTCCCGCTGGGAGGTGATTCTGCAGAACTCAGCCATTCACAGGTCATGGGAGATTTTGTTCCCTTCAGGGTATGTCAGCTTCACTTGCTGAAGTAGGACAAGTATGAATTAGCCCTGGCTGAAGCCAAAATTCTTTATATTTAAAAGAAGAAAAGCAGTTAAATATTCAGCCCGATCCTGGGTTTTGAATTACCCCATTTATCTTTCACTCTGAGCATCTGCTTTTTATTGCATTGTGGCCCTGCCTGCCATTTATCTCCCCGTCAGTCTGTATCCACGTGTCATGGGACTCAAAAGTGAAGATTAGAGGAGAAAAATATCTCTGTATTCTAAGCCTGGCAACTTCTATTTTTATCCTCAGCTGTTGGAGCTGATAGCAAAGTCACAGCTCACATCCCTGAGTGGCATCGCCCAAAAGAACTTCATGAATATTTTGGAAAAAGTGGTACTGAAAGGTGAGCCTTCTCTCAATCTCTTGCTCCTTTTTATAGGCATGGGGGTGGGCAGATGGGTTTTCCAATAGAGTGGACATGTCATTTGATTTAAAGACATGTGAAGGGATGGAAATGAATAACTCCAGCTCCATTTCAGAAGCACTAGATTCCAATTCAGAAAGGGGTGCAACTCATCCTCATGGCAAAGGGTGAGACCATTACCTCCTGTCCTTTCTTTGGGATCATCCACTTGCCCTACTATAATCCTCGTAGGTTTCTCAGTGTAGGCACAGGCCCCAATGCTGGCTACAGAGCCTCCAGGTTCCAAATTCCTAGAAGATCGACCTGTGTACAAAGTCTGAATGGATTCATAGACTATTTGAGCTGGAAGGAACGTTAGGTCTCTGGTTCAACTGTCTCATTGTACACATGGGGAAACTGAGGGCCATGAGGAGAAGCGATTTGTCCATAGTCACACAGAGTCAGCCAGACAGGATTAGAACCCAGGCTCCAGACCCCTGGAACTGTGCTCCTTCCACTGACTGTCCTACAGGGGGGTCACTTCTGGGCAAACAGAGCGGCCTTCTGATCAGGTGAGCCATGGCTGCTGGGAGAACAATGAAAAGAGAAAGAGGCTTTCTAAAAAATGAGAGAGAAGAGAACAAAGAGGGACCTGGATAATGGAAACTCTACCCCTTAACCTCAAGTGCAGAAGCTTGGCCAAGCATACAATAAACACCGGTGAGAAAGAAAACCATATCCCCAGAGGCGGTGCCAGGGTAACGTGAGCAGAATAGAGACAGAGAAAAAAGCTCATGTTTAAAATACAGGGTGTTCCAGAATCGTAACTTCAATTATTTTTTTCTTCCCTACTCAAGTCCTTGAAGACCAGCAAAACATTAGACTAATAAGGGAGCTACTCCAGACCCTCTACACGTCCCTATGTACACTGGTCCAAAGAGTCGGCAAGTCTGTGCTGGTCGGGAACATTAACATGTGGGTGTATCGGATGGAGACGATTCTCCACTGGCAGCAGCAACTGAACAACATTCAGATCACCAGGGTAAGCCGGCAGGCCCAGCCTCCTCCCGCAGTAGGTCCCTCCACAGAGGCTGGACAGCCTCGCCAAGACTTTGAATTCACTCCCGTGACGGAAGAGTCTGGTCTTTTCTGATCTGCTGCCTTGTCCTGGTGCTGAGGGTGGGCTGGGGGACCTCCTGATAAAGGGAGGTGGGAAGAAAAACGTGGCAAAACAGGATCAAAGTACATGAAAGATGACAGCCCGGTGAACCGTCGTGGGAAAGCTGGAAACTTGGCTTTTAGGGGAGATAGATGCTGGCTGTCCTGCTGAAATCTTTAGCAGGGTTCAGCAATCTCTCTTTGCCCATTTCCTCATAAAGGATGAGCTGTCTGCAGCTGTAGGTTGCTGTCTTGAATACAACAGAGCTGGGAAGGCAGCGGCTTGGAGAACTGGTACCAGCCTTTTAAAATCCTAGTTCTGATTATTGGTCGTTATGACAAAGGAAGGCTTTGATTAAAGCCTGTGAGCTTACATGTGGGAAAAGGACGAGCAAGCCTCAAAGCAAAAAGAAAAGGCCCTGTATTACCAGTGAGGTTTGCCGACCTATAGCAGTCGTTTCATTTGGCTTTCACAACATAACTTGGCCCTCAGCTCTTGTCCTCCTGTTAGCGAGCAGGAGGACCCAGGCACAGAAAATAATAATAATAGCAATGGCAGGAAGACGCTGGTGTCATCTCTTAGGGCTCACTAATGGACAAACACACTCCGGCGGCTCATGAAGCACTTTGCTCACTTATCTCATCACTGACCACAGCTGGCTAAAGTGGTTTCCGGGACCCACGCTGATACAGTTTGAGGTTGCCCCCTATCAGGAGAAGGTAGCAGGAAGAAATCCTTTGACTTCTGTTAAATAACTCTTTTACTAGATGAAGTTTTAAAATGCATGTCCATGACCTTACTGGTAACGACCTCTCTGTACCTTCCCTTTTGAAGCTGCGAAACAGAGTAAGTTGAAGCCTCAGAGTTATGTGACTTCCTTAGAGTCGCTTAGGCTACGACACCTACACGCTGCACCTACAGACACACACGCACAGGGCGGAGCACAGATGCAAGTCATCTTTCAGAAACTGTCTCAGGTATTTGATTTTTTTTTAAGAGAATGTGGACCAGGCACGGTGGCTCACGCCTGTAATTCCAGCACTCTGGTAGGCCAAGGCAGGTGGATCACAAGGTCAGAAGATCGAGGTCAACTGATCAACATGATGAAACCTGTCTCTACTAAAGTTACAAAAATTAGCCAGGCATGGCGGCGCGCACCTGTAGTCCCAGCTACTTGGAAGGCTGAGGCAGGAGAATAACTTGAACCCGGGAGACAGAGGTTGTAGTGAGCCTAGATCACACCACTGCACTCTGGCCTGGGCAATAGAGCGAGGCTCCTTCTCAAAAAAAAAAAAAAAGAGAGAATGTGCATATTTATTATAAAAATTAACCCAATTTATTCTAATAAGGTACCCCATTCCCACAGCTCAAGTGTAGGCACATAGTCTGACCATGTGAATGTGAGACCCAGGTTCCCAGCTTCTCTCACAGAAATCCACATACACTTTCTACCTGATTTCTGCCATTGTCTATGACCCGGACTGACTGACTGGGATTATTCTAAGGCCAGGAGAGAATTGCCCAGCCAGTGATATCAACAAGCAGGTCCATATTTCCCAAGGCATCTTCCCTTTAGCAACTTCAGAACACCCATTTAGATTGTCACACTTGGCCAGGTGTGGTGGCTTATATCTGTAATCCCAGCAATTTGGGAGGCCAAGGCAGGTGGATCATCTGAGGTCAGGAGTTTGAGACCAGCCCGGTCAACATGGTGAAACCCTGTCTTTAATAAAAATGCAAAAATTAGCCAGATGTGATAGTACACAACTGTAGTCCCAGCTACTTGGGAGGCTGAGGCAGGAGAATCACTTGAACCCGGGAGGTGGAAGTTGCAGTGAGCCGAGATCATGCCACTGCATACTGAGCCTGGATGACAGAGCAAAACTCCATCTCAAGGAAAAAAAAAACCTCTAGATGGTCACACTTGCCGGGAGTGTGCCTCTGTTCCCTCTGTCCACCTCCAAGGACCCCTCTTGGCCACATCTGCTTGTATACCCTGCACTGCCATAGGCTTACATCCTCAGAGCCCCCCTTAGCTCATCCACAAACACCCTTCAGAGGCAGCTATTGTAGCTGCTGTCACCCCTCTTGGAGTGGAAGTGCAGGGGGGACCAGAGATGCCCAGTGACGTTCTTAGCTATGCACAGCAGTTAGGACCAGAGCTGAGGCCGGAACCCTGGACTCCATTATTCCTAAAATGGCAAAGCTTGCTCAACATCAGTGGTTTCCAAACTTTTTCAATCCAGCTTTCTTCCAGCTATTTATCCAATGATCCAGCTTTTTAAAAGACGCTCTTGAATCCAATGAGATTCTATGAAGAAGCGATCAAACACTGAAGTTCACTCACTACTCTTCTGCACGAGCAGCTGCAGCCAAACCCAGCTATTCTCTGCATACTCCAAGCTTGGCCCTGCCTCAGGGCTTTGAAGCTTGCTGCCTTCCTTAACCCTCCAATCTATGGACATCACCATTCGTCACTATCATGTCACCTTCTTCCGAGCAGTTATGATCTGAAATTGTCTTGTGTGTGCACTTTTCTGTCTTTGTCCACTGGCTTATAAGCTCCACAAAGAAAGTCCATTACCCATCTATTTCCTGTTCCTGGCACAGAGTAGGAGACAGTCAGCAAATCTGAGTTGAATGAATGAATGGTTGAAAGGGAATCTCCTCCCATTCCCTGCCTGAGTACTCGTTCAATGGTCAAAGGAACACAATTGGAAAATATGGCCCAGTATTATGAATGATGATAATAATTTACCAACTGCAGGATTTCTTTTTTTGAGGCAGGGTTGCTGTCACCCGGAGTGCAGTGGTGCAATCTCAGCTCACTGCACCCTCCACCTCCTGCGTTCAGGCAATTCTTCCACCTCAGACTCCCCAATAGCTCGGATTACAGGCATGCACCACCACGCCTGGATAATTTTTGTATTTTTTGATAGAGACGGGGTTTCACCATGTTGGCCTGGCTGGTCTCAAACTCCTGACCTCAAGTGATCCGCCTGCCTCAGCCTCCCAAATTGCTGGAATGACAGGCATGTGCCACCATGCCCGGCCCCAACTGCAGGATTTGAGGCAAGTTATTCAGTCTCTCTATGCCTCACTTTCCTCATTTGGAAAATAGTTGCAACAGTGTCTATGCATAGCCGTGGTGTGAGATGTAATCAGTTAATATATAGAAAGCAGATGGCGCAGTGCCTAATGCACGGTAAGTCTTGTTAAGTGTGTCGGCTGTTATTACTAAGGGCTGGCTCTGTGCAGACGCTCTTCTAAGTCCTTTACATGTACTAATTAACTCACCTAGTGAAGAATTGTAAATAGGAGTCATGACAGTGGCTAGTGTTTAGTGGGCATTGTACTGAGTGCTTCTATGCATTATCTCATCCGCCCAACCAACAAGACTGTAAGATAAGATTTTTTTCACGTTCTAAATGAGAACAATTAGACCAAGTGGTTAAGAATAATTTGGCTGAGGCCTCACGCTTGGTAGAGTGTGGTACAAGGACTGACTCCAGGTCTGTCTACAGAGGCTATGCTTTCAATCACTGTACCTGCCTCCCACTGTCCTCTGTCCCAACCCTCCCTGGCTCTGAACTTCCTTATATTGCGCTGTACTGGAAACAACGGAGCTTTAAAGGGCTTTTCTTTTTTGGTTTTTTTGTTTCGTTTTGTTTTTTGAGACAGGGTCTTATTCCTATTGCCCAGGCTCAGGTGATTCTCCCACCTCAGCCTCCTGAGTAGCTAGGACTATAGGCGCTTGCCACCACACCCAGCTAATTTTTGTATTTTTAGCAGGGACAGGGTTTCACCATCTTTCCCAGGCTGGTCTCGAACTTTTGGGCTCAAGCAATCCTCCCACTTCAGCCTCCCAAAGTGCTAGGATTACAGGCGTGAGCCACTGCACCCAGCCTCAACACAGATGCTCAACCCTCCAGTGGAAAGTGAAATTGAGAGAGAGAAAGGACTTAATTACTTCAGGCTGGACTGTATTTTACAACTTACTTTTTTTTTTAACAGTTTGACCCAAAGACAAATATGTTATTACATGTAAATATGAAGTCGACTTTCAGAGTAAATGCTTTCTGTTTTGCCAAAGTGCTATCAGTCTCCTCCCAGCATAAAATCTTGTTTTCCTGCAAAATTTTCATATCTAATTCTATGAAGCCAATTCTTATTGGCAAAATAATTAATAAAATAAAGAAGGAAGGAAAAAATTAAGAGAACTGGGTCTTACGGGGAAAAAACATCAGGTGCAATGACAGGATCCGGTGGAGGGGGCACTGTTCAAGTATGTGAGGGGTGACATAGACCCGAGTGGATGTCAGCCAGATGCTTGACTATGGGAGCGAGAGTGACTAATTTTTCTTGTATGTGTTTAGATTCGAAAGGAAGAGGCATGTAAGCAGTTAACCACTTATCAGGAGGAAGGGCTCAGCCTGGGTTCTGGGCAAGGATTTTGGAAAAGTTCAGGTTTGAAAATTTGACAGAGTGAACTCTGCCAAGTGGACTTGCCTTTAATAGGAGTTAATGTAATAATTGGCCTGGGAGTTTTAACCAAAAAAGTAGAGGCTTTGAAGTGCTGGAAACGAAAAGAAAATCTCATGGCAGTTTTATTAGCTCATATGATCAGCAGCAGATGATAAACGATAAATAGGTCTCAGGCCTTCTGCAGTTGGCAAAGACCCGAAGCTTGCAAACAATGGAGAGTTCTACCCAGCAGCTTGGGGTAGAACCAAGGGTAGTCATTGTCAAGTTATAGATACTTTGAATGAAATAGGAGGCTGAAGTCCTTCTACATCTGAGATTGTTGGAGCTGGGAGGGATCTTCAGAGTCTCCTAAGCCATTCATTTTGGACATGGGGAAACTTCCCAGGGGAGCTGGGACGCAGACGAGCTGCCTGTCCATCTTGTCCCTCCCCTGCACCTCCCATTCTTCTCCACAGCTCAGCCACCTCAAGCCCCCTTGCCACTGCTCCCTCCCCACTTCGGGCCTACCCTGCCTTGCTGGGGACAGAATTGCCCAGACCAAGTGTCTCCTGGAATCCCCCGTATGTTTGGGCTTCAATGTGCTTCAGACAGAGTTTGGCTCCTGTAAAAATGTGAGGAGGGAAATTGATACCCACTCTCAGGATATTTTCCCTTGAGCTAGGTACGGGTTTCTTCATCCTGTATTATTTTTTCTGTGACCTCCCAAAGGTCACAGGACATTGATGTAAAAATGTGAGTAGTCCAAAATCAAGAGCTCACCCAGAACCAGCAGGGTCGGGACAAGGAAATGCAGTCCCAGGTGGTCTGTTGACTCATCTGGATGGCAGCAGCTTGTGCTGTTTGAGGCACATCAGCAAATAGATTTGCGGATCCCCGGGTCCAGATTCTTCCCACAGTGCTTTGTGCTTCCCTCCATGACACCATTTATTGTATTATTTTGTGTTACTTTATTTGTTTCTGCTTCTGGGTCTCTCACCAGCGTAAAGAGCTCATTGCAGCAGCCTTAGCATCAGGCCATAGGAGGCACTCAGAAGAGGTGGTTTGTGCTGTGCTAGTCTACAAGGGACACAAAATGACACAAAGTGAGACCCTGCCTTCAAGGATGTACATCTGGGCAGGGTATCATGAGCTCATCAAAATTTAAAACAATAAAGGCTTAAATATGTTAAGTTCAGGGATGTACCAGAAGCTCTTGGAGAAGCTTGCGATTAATTGCCAAGATATTATCCACAGACCACCAGTTTTCAAAATGTTCCACCAAGCCCTAGGTTGGAATAGAGATGTCTCAAGGGAGGGTGGCGCTTGGGCCAAAGGCTTCTGGACGTGCCATTCCCAACGTGCGCAGACACGCGCACGCACACACACACACACACACACACACACACCCCGCAGCACAGAGTCTTTGCGGTGTTGTTTTCTACCTATTTAATTATTTGGGCTTCATTTATTCCACAGATATTTGTTGAGTGCCTTCTATGTGCTGGCCACTCTTATAGACACCCAGGACACAGTAGTGAAAAAAAGATTAAAATACCTGCCTTCACAGAGCTTAAGTTCCAGCAAGAACATTCCCTTTAAAGTTTCTTTCGGAAAAAAAGTTCATGTTCATGACAAAAGGAAGGATATTGCAAAAAGTGTCTGAAAAAGATCCCAAAAATCCTAGGAAGGTGCAGTGAGTAAAGGAGTCACAGAAGCAGAAAGGCCTTTCAGAGGAAGTGGGTTTGAACTGGACCTGAGCAGGAGGACTGTGGCTGAGCAGAGAGGACAGGGAAGGTGGAGGCACTGAGTTCAGGCTGTGCCAGGCGTGTTTGGGTGCCAGTGAGTAAATCTACCTGGAGGGACCTGAGGTCTGGAGGGTGCCAGGGAGATAGGACTTGGGGTGGCAGGCTGGGCTACTCCATCCAGGGCAGTGAGGCCTTCAGGAAGGCAGTGAATCTTGTAATTGTGTGAACTGAGTAAAGCATGAGGAACCAACATGCCCTACTGGAGAGTCTCTAAGAGTCAAGGTTGAAAGCTTCGTGAAATGTAAGGAGGTCCCTCTGGCGCCTCTCAGCTCAGCCCACCTCACGCTGTTCTTTCTGGGTCATGGCCATGGTCCTGTGTCTGCATTAAGGATGGGGAGATTTACTACTGCTTTCGACCTCTTATCAATAAACTGCCTCGAGGGTGGAGGACAGGGGGACAGCTGCATGCTGGGAGGGTGTGGCCTGGTGAATCGCTGCTCCGCGGCCCCCTCACCTGTTATCACCCTTCTCGCTGCAGCCTGCCTTCAAAGGCCTCACCTTCACTGACCTGCCTTTGTGCCTACAACTGAACATCATGCAGAGGCTGAGCGACGGCCGGGACCTGGTCAGCCTGGGCCAGGCGGCCCCCGACCTGCACGTGCTCAGCGAAGACCGGCTGCTGTGGAAGAAACTCTGCCAGTACCACTTCTCCGAGCGGCAGGTCGGCGAGGCCCAGCAGGCTTTCCTCCCACCCTCCTTCTCCATCTCCCACCCCAGCTTCCTTGGCGCCTTGCTCGAGCCTGAGGTCTAGATTCCCCCTACTCCAGGTTTCCCTGTTTTTTGAGACAGCGTCTTGCTCTAAGGCCCAGGCTGGAGTGCATTGACGCAATCATAGCTCGCTGCGGCCTCAAGCAACCTTCCCACCTCAGCCTCCCAAGTAACTGGGAGTACAGGCTCATGCCACCGCACCTGGATAATTTTTTAATTATTATTTTTGTAGAAATAGGGTCTCTCTATGTTGCCCAGGCTGGTCTCAAACTCCTGACCTCAGGTGATCCACCTGCCTCGGCCTCCCAAAGTGCTGGGATTACAGGCGTGAGCTACCGTGCCCGGCCTTAAAGTACTTTTATAGATATTATTTCATTTTATTCTAATGGCCCAGGGAAGGATAGGTATTGTTGTGCCCACTTGAAACAGATCAAAGGACTAAAGCCACAGATGGCTCAGTGACACATCCGAATGAGTGAAGCGGCTCTCTGGGTGAGGAAACTGGCCCTGACCTTGAATCTGGGCCTTCAGACACCAGCTCCAAGCCTGTTTCCCTTCATCATGCTGCCTCAAGTCTGTTGGTCTTTTTCCAGTTTCTTTTTATGGATGTGTGAGTTCAACAAGTTCTGTTCATGAAGCCACTAATATTTAGATAGAAAATAGAGCCCTAGTGCCAAGCAGTTATTACAGCTCCCTGGAAATGATCACTCAAGGCTATAGCAAAGAAAAGATTGAACTTGTTTATTGAAATCACCTAAACTTTAAAGGATCATCCAACCACAGCTTAGTAAAAGTCACTAGTAACATGTCACCAGCCACCTTGTTTTTTTGTTATGTTTTGTTTTAGGCTTGGTTAAAAGCTACTGTTTAACTGAGGAGCACTAAGAAGGTACTTCTTTCTATAATGACAGTTTTCCCCCCTGGCTATCAGAGACATCAAAAGTGGGGAAAGAGGATGAGAGTAAACCTTTTCAGAAACAGAAAAACCACAAGCTGTCTTCTTGACAAACTCTTGCAATTCCTCTTATTCATTTTAGATCCGCAAACGATTAATTCTGTCAGACAAAGGGCAGCTGGATTGGAAGAAGATGTATTTTAAACTTGTCCGATGTTACCCAAGGAAAGAACAGTATGGAGATACCCTTCAGCTTTGCAAACACTGTCACATCCTTTCCTGGAAGGTATGTGTCTCAGAGGTGGCCACCACAGACCCCCAGCCCAGCCCCTAAGAGCCAAGAGTGCCAGCCAGCATGGTGAGGCCAGCACCTGTCTGCCTCTTCCCCATCACAGTCCCTAGCTGAAAGTGAGGGCAAACTGATTCAGCACCTGGGAGGGTGGAGATGGAGGACTTTTGTAGACTTCCATTTTCCTCACCTTCTTATGTTTATTTATTTCTGTGTTCCACCCACCCACCCTTAAATCCTCCTCTGTGTGTACAGGTACACACTTGCACGTGGAAACACACAGCTCTTAGTTTTTCCAGACCTGTAAAATGTTTTCACTGATGCATCATAGATGGACATAGCTTCAGGTTCCATGTGATAATGGAATTCATGTAATTTGCAAAGATTAAATCAAAGTACTTGACACATTCATAACCTTAAATATTTGTCACTTATTTATGCTAGAGCCATTCCAATTCTTCTCCTCTGGCTATTTTGAAATACTCAACAGATTTTTTTTTTTTTTTTTTTGAGACGGAGTCTCACTCACTCTGTCACCCAGGCTGGAGTGCAGTGGTGGAATTTCAGCTCACTACAATCTCCACCTCCCAAGTTCAAGCAATTCTCCTGCCTCAGCCACGCCAGGTAGCTGGGATTACAGGCATATGCCACCATGCCCAGCTAATGTTTGTATTTTTAGTAGAGACGGGGTTTTGCCATGTTGACGAGGCTGGTCTTGAACACCTGGCCTCAAGTAATCCACCTGCCTCAGCCTCCCAAAGTGCTGGAATTACAGGGGTGAGCCACTGTGCCCAGCCTGAAATGTTCAATAGATCACTGTAAACTGTATTCACTTGCTGATCTAACAGCAGGTCTTACTCCGTCTATCATACCACATCTTTGTACCCATTGATCTACTTCCCTACATCCCCTTCTTTTTCCCTTTCCCTGCTCTGGTAACCACCAGTCTACTCTCTGTCTTTATGAAATCTACTTTTAAAGCTCCCACATACGAGAGAAAACATGCACCATTTAGGCCTGTGGCATTATTGACAGAGAATCATTGCTTTGAAGCTGGAAAATGCCTTATGGTGCCAAAAGCCAATGAGCGGCCTCTGAGAACTTGAACCTAACCATGTCATAACCACATGTTTCTTTCCAGGGCACTGACCATCCGTGCACTGCCAATAACCCAGAGAGCTGCTCCGTTTCACTTTCACCCCAAGACTTTATCAACTTGTTCAAGTTCTGAACCCCAGCACATGACAACACTTCAGAAGGATCCCCCTGCTGCCTGGAGAGCTGGGAATATGGCATTTGGACACTTCGTTTGTAAATAGTGTACATTTTAAACACTGGCTCGAATCTTCAGAGATAAGTCATGGAGAGGACATTGGAGGGGAGAAACGCAGTTGCTGACGGGGAATTTAAGAATGTGAACTGCTCACTAGGATTGGTATGGAAAAGCAGAAATACTGTAAATAAACTTTTTTTCTAACAATTTGCCAGCAAGGCTATAAGGGCAATAATTCTGTTTCAGCGGTGAAAATGGAATTCTCTTGATGTTCACGGAAACTCCTTTAGAGCTCCCTAGGAAGAAAAGGGCAAAACTCAAATACAAAATAGAATGCTTTGTTTACAATGTGAAAGTGTGTTTAGAGAAAAAAAAGAAGAAGAAAGAAAACTGCATAGGAGAAACCCTTGGGCTTTAGGGTTTGATCTGGTGTTTGTTTTGAGAAGGCGGAGGAAGCGCCACCCATCGTAAACCTGCATGGGCACAGAACCTTACCCTACAGAGATACCACACAATGGTCTACCTCTAAAAGCGTAGAGTGCCCTCTCTGACAACGCATGTGATCCAGTAGGCAGTGTCTGCTTTTCTTGTAAGTGTTTTCATCACTATAAAAAGTGATTTAAAATGGAAAGGGATATTGGAGGCAACCGTCCTCTGGTTTCAGACTTCCTTTTCAGGCAAACAGGGCCCTCCTTGGAGTTGTCTGTTTACCAGAACAACCCCAAAGTACATGTTCCTTTTTTCCTGTCATGTTGTAGCTCACTGGGGGGAAGAGAAGGCTAATTTAAAACAGTCTCCAGGGGAGAATCGCTTGAGCCCAGGAGTTCGAGGTTTGTAGTGAGCTATGGTCGTGCCACTGCACTCCAGCCTGTCTCTAAAACAAAACAAAACAAAACAAAAAAAGCTGTCCCAGAGGACATCCTGCTGCAGAAAAGATGATAGAATTAGTCACCCAATAAAATAGCTGTGAAGACTTCCTTATTCCTGCTTAACTTCCTTCCTTGGGTATCTTCATGGATAACTGTGGACTGAGTGGGGCTGGAGCGCTGAGGCTTGAAAGACAGGTTTTACAATCAGCCAGTTAAACAGCTTACCAATTGCTGTTCCCCTTGTCAGGGAGATGAGCTGAGGAGCTTCTTTTCTTTAGGGCCAACATCAAAATGAGTCCATCTGAGCTGGGGCTTTTTGCAAAGGTGGGCGATTAAAAATCAAGGCTGGAGTTCCAGCTAATAGGGAGGAGAGGTACCACAAGTTCATCTTAAATTTGCTTCTGGGATGGGTAGTTAAAACACGAAGATTCCAAGGGGATCTTGCGAGGCAAATATCAGCAGTTAACTGTGGAAGAAAGGAAATCTCAGGACCTAATGAGTTCATTGTAAAATATTCCTGGGAGCAGATGGGGGGTGTTTTTTTCACTTTTTATAGAATATTGTTGCTTTCCTACAACAGTGTACATATATTTGCAGTTGTATATGCTTTTTTTTTTCCAAATAAAGTTTGCATGCCCTTGGCAAATAAGTGAAGCAGAAATAGGAACCTGGTCCACATTCAAGTTGAGGAACGGTGTGTCTTTAAGAGGTGACCTTTGGGGTGACCTGGAAAGGGGGAATATGGCTAAGCATGAAGAGAAATGAGGAAAGAGACAAGCTAGTGATAGAACACCTCTTAATCCCCGCCCTCAATAGCACACTACCCACGTATCAGCTTTCTGAAGAGAAGGGACCTACTCTTCTGTACTCCTCACTTTGCAATGTTTGTGCTTACACCGGGATGTCTCAGGTTTTTTTTCATTATCATCCCCCAAAGGAGAAAAAAATTACATTGAATTTAAATTTTCCCTAATAAGAAAAATTAAATATGAAAGAATAGGATTTTGTTGGGTAAGACTGAGCTTTGGAGGGTCACGAACCACTGTAATATCTAAGGTTTTGTTTTGTTTTGGTTTTTGTTTTTTTTGCAGTCCCCCTCCCCTGAATCAATCTCACATTGGGAATGCGGGACCTAGACTGTTGAATAAAAAGCTACTTCTTCCGTAATTGTCAGGTTCGCTCCAATTTTTCAGCAGCTTCCCTAAAGACATGGGGTGGAGCTGGGTGTGCCGTCACTGAGAGAGTCCTGGAAACTTTGACTCTCAGTGACATTTTTAGATTTAGGGGTTCGTGACCTTCCACATCTCGCCATCAACTTGTGATCTCTGTCCCTTCATGCTGATCAAGAAAGTAGAAACTCCTCATCGCCTTCAGGTTTGCAGTCCCAGAAACATTGCCTGCTGTGGACTGTCAGCACAAAACTGGGACAGTGGTCTCAGTTAGACTGTCAGCAGTGCACATACCTGCACGATCAACCCCAGGCAACCATGTGCATCTGTGCAAGACGACCCCTGCCCCAAGAGAAGGGTTACGGACTTCTGAAATGTTTACCAAGATGGTGCCGGTGGGCTCTCCCCTTGTCCTTCGGTGTTATTGGAGCTGGTGTATGACACAGTCAAGGAAATTTTTTAAGGAAAATGAAAAAGAAATCAACCTTTGTGGTTCTCTTTCATTGGAAGGGGAGAATAAGGAAGAAAATGGCAAGTAGAGAGGGAGAGGGAAAGGAATGGAAGTGGCATGTCTTTAATGTTGTGGCTTGTGTGGGGATGATGGGAACAGCACAGCAGGCACAGTGTATGTGTTAGTGCCACGTGGTCTCTGTTAACTATGGCCAGAGCCTCACATATAAGTAAGTAGAGTTAAGACAATTCTTGCTCTTTGAACAATAATATTAGCAAACCATCCCAGACAACCTGACCTATCAAACAAAAGCAAATAATGCCTGTCTCAGAACTGCTGGTCTAAAAGCCAGAAGGGGCACAACAATGGAAATTGCTGGAAGAGAGAGAATGCTCTACTCTCTTTCCTGTGCCTACCTACCTGCATCCTAAACCCTGTAAAACAGAATTTCAAAATAGATGTCAAATATGAAGTAATTCAGACTTCCAAATAAGGAAAGAGTTCGCCCAGGGCAGTATGAGCAAATCCACAGGGATGTTAAGATTTGGTCCAACTCAAAGGTTTATGGGCAGGGAGCCTAGAGTCTCTTGAGAGTAAGGCCCTGCGTTTGGGACAAGGAGAATATGTGAAGCTCAAGAGTGCTCACAGTAGAGAGCAAGACCCAGAAAAAAATCCAATGGCATTTTAAACTAGATTGCATGATTACCCAATGCTGTTACTTTGAACAGACAAATCAACTGGATGGGAGGGCCAATGGCAGATGAACAAAAGCCGTTAGGTGAAAGCTATCCCCAATGTATCAGTTGTGAGGTGATTTTTGTGTAATGATGATCAGGTTTACATTCAAGTGGCTTGAAGGACTTATTTCAGAGGAACTGAGTTTGCACTACAAAACTCTGAACACTAGAGCAGGTTCTACTAGCGCTTGGGAAGTAAGGTGATAGGTGTGTATTCTGCTATTGCCACGGTTCTCATCTTTGTGGATTCACGTACCCTTTCCCATGAGGAGCTTGCTACTAACAGGCTCCTTGTATCTGTTGTTTTTATATGGGAGAAGAGAAAGAGCTTGGAATTTCAATTGTCTAAACAAGTGGTATGATTTACAAGGAGGCAAACCATTCAAGAGATGTTCAACAGTATATCATTCTTAGCATTCAATACAGTGTTTATTATAAAATACACACCTGAGTTTATGTTTTTCTACCAGGCTATAAGTGCAATAATGTCTTGCTATGCAAACACTCCATTTTATGTGTGAATTTTTTTAACTGTAATTTTACGTGTGCATTTTTTTTTAACTAAACTCTATCATCATTTTCTATGTCGACATCTTTTTTTTTTAATCTGTTTCCAACTCTCTGAGTCTGTGAACCATCTCTTCTGACTGGATGCTGGCCTAAAATCCTATTAGTGCTTAAACAGACCTCAAAACACTCTGAACCTCTAGGCCAATACAGAGATGTTGCTCTTTGATATATCTTGGGTCCTTGATGGTTTCAACAAACAAGGTCATAATTCCTTTAAATTCAGTGTTTTCTGTAGATACTTTCTTCTCAGTTTCATTAAGGAGAGTAACACTGTTTGGTTTTCCAAAGAATGGAAACTCCTACCCCAGACTTTAGACTTAGAGCTTCTGCCTTTCAAGATGAGAAAGAGGTCCAGAATGTTTAGGGGACATGCCTCAGCCCACCTAGTACTCAGTGGCAGAGCTGAATGCCAACTTCAGGTACCCCCAGCCCTCCACCCCAAACACATTTTGGTACAGCTGGAGACACATGACATTGGATGTGATTTTTCTCAAGACCTTCACTGTGGAAGGCATGGGAGACTGCCCAGTGTTGGCCATCTGGCCATTAACATTTCCATTTCAAGGCCCTGATTCTTACTGGAGAAGTTAAGGAGACGCTTAATGTTTTTACAGAATTCAGATTCTGTTGTGAGTGTGGCATTCCAATGAGTACAACCTTCCTGCTATAAAGAAAGCAGCACATTTTGACAAATTTATTTTTTCCTTGGGTACTTAACATTTTTATTACAAAAACGGCCCTTATAAAAAAGACAGAAGGGCTGGGCAGTGGCTTGCTTCCTAGAAACTGAGATTCCGAAGCAGGTGTTTCCTCTCCCGAGACACAGAGGTACATTTAATCCATCTTCTCCATTTCCTCCTTCAGGACCAGCTATGAGATTCAGTGCGTTTCTATCCCAGCAAATGTTCGTTCTCCACTAAACCTCATCTTTTACTAACCAAAGGGGGATTATTCCATGAGGCAGCCAGGAGCAAGGGGCTGTGATATTCATGACTTTGTCTGCTGGGCATTTTTCAAAGTGTCCTTGAATTCACTCAGCAAACAAAGCTTCCTGGAGAATGTCTCAAAACTTAGGACCTGCTCCATTTGGCCAAAAATGATGGCTGCTCCAAAACTCTGAACTTCTTGAAACTCCATCTGCTACAACATTAATTCTGGAGTTTAAACATGACTTTTTCTGTCTTTGAGTATAGATGTGTTTATTTAATTAACGATGCACAAGTCTGTTAAGCAGAAGGCTCCAAGCTGTGTTCTATACTTGGGAACCCTTGGTGCCATCTTTATTCTACCAAGTGCCAATCACCCTGGCTAAAGTGGGTGTATATTACAGCCTATGTCCTAAGCTTAGAAACTTTAATGTACTTTTTTAAATGAAAAATATTAGAGGGGGTTGAACATTGTAACTAAAGCATAAAGTTAGACCAATTACATGTAAAGATGTTTATTTAATATTGTGTGAGCTGAGTCCTTCTGTATAAATTATTTGCACATTTTTCTTGCATGTGAACTGATTTTTTATAGTTGTTTGTACCAGACGGTGGCATATTTTTGTAAAAAACTTTTGACACTGAATTGCAATAAATGTTTTTCCAACAACACACACTGGTGCATTTTTAGTGTGTCTTAATTCAAGTTGGCTTTTTATCATACCAAATATGTTTATCTTTTGCCTATTGAGACTTATATTCCTTCCCCAGAAACTTGTTACCATTTTTGTAAAATTTCTAGGAATCCATAGAAAAATCAGCTTGTTGCTGAATACCAACCTGAGTCTATAATACAGCATTACGCTTAAATTGAATATTTTCATATACTGTTTGCACAGCAGAATATTTAGGGAATAATGAATTTTGAAGTCAACATCAATTTATTCATCAACAGGCATTCATGGAACAGCTATTATATGCTAGACCTGTGCAAGGCACTGGGAATAGAGTGGTGAATAAGACAGAAAGTGTCCTTGCCTTTTATGTGTGTGGGGTTGTTTTTGGTTTTTTTGTTTTAGTTTTTTTGGGGTTTTTTTTGTTTTGATGAAAAAGATGGGATTCATCCTTGCCTTAATGAAATTTAGATTCTAGTAAGAAAGGCAGCCCAGGTGCAGTGGGTCACACCTGTAATTCCAGCACTTTGGAAGGCCAAGGTGGGTAGCTCACTTGAGGTCAAAAGCTCGAGACCAGCCTGATCAATATGGTAAAAACCCATCTCTACTAAAAATACAAAAATTATCTGGGCATGGTGGCACATGCCTGTAGTCCCAGCTAATCGGGAAGCTGAGACAGGAGTATCTCTTGAACCTGGGAGGCAAAGGTTGCAATGAGCTGAGACAGTGCCATACACTCCAGCCTGGGTAACAAAGCCAGACTCTGTCTCAAAAAAGAAAGACAGAAAAGAAAGAAAAGGAAGGGAAGAGGAGGGGAGGGGAGGGGAGGGGAAGGGAGGGAAGGGGGGAAGGGAAGGAGGGAAGGGAAGGAGGAGGGAGGGAAGGGAAGGGAAGGGAAGGGAAATCAAGTACAAATTATTTGTAATAACCAATATGAAGGGAATAGACAAAGGGTTGCGATATAGAATAACAACTGGGACCCACTTAAGACAGTGAGGACAGAAGCAGCAGGGGCCTCTCTGACGAAGTGATATTGAAAGAGCCAGCCCCAAAGGAATGAGGGCAAGAGCATTCCAGAAAGAGAACCAGCTGTACAAGGTTCAAATCATGGTCCTGCAACTTACCTGCAGAGTGGCCTTTGTCACCTCACTTCACCCCTCTGTGTCTCAATTTCCTTGACTCTAAGAACACCTAACTCATATGGCTCAGGCGGTTAAGTGAACTAACACATATGAAGTGCTTGGAGGCAGGCACAAACTATGAGCTGAGTCAATGTTAACGATTATTGCTATTCCCTGAGCAACAAGAGTCTAAGAATCAGTTTCAGAATTGCACTGTTTCCAGGTGGGTATGATTTATTCAGGTGACTGATGTGCAGGAGACTGGCTTACTTGATACTTTCACTCTGGGACACCCTCTGATCTGGCCAGTAACTGTCAATCAGAAAATGGCAAAAGGTGCATGAGAGTAATTAGAGATCATTTTGTTAAACCTCCACCAGGATCACAAAATCTCACCATTCCCTAAATATGACAAGCCTTCTTTGCTCAGGTAGTGTGCCTACTTAGAATGTTCTTCCCCTACCATCTATCATCTGTCTGATTAGCACCTTTAAGCCACTGCCTCACTAAAGCCTCTCCCAGCTGAGTAAATCTTATTTCCCATCACACTTCTTTGCCTAGGGACTTTATTACATCATATGGGCAATTGCATAGTACCTAGCACAGTGCCAGGGTTGAATGAATTAATAAAACCATGTACACCAGGGGTCCCCAATCCCCAGGCTATGGACCAGTATTGGCCTGTGGCCTGTTAGGAAGGAGATGAGCAGCAGGCAAGTGAGGGTTACCACCTGAGCTCCACCTCCTGTCAGATCAGTGGTGGCATTAGAGTCTCATAGGAGCGCGAACCCTGTTGTGAACTGTGCATGCAAGGCACCTAGGTTGCGTGCTCCTTATGAAAATCTAATGCCTGATGATCTGACGTAGAACAGTTTCATTACAGAACCATTCCCCCCCAACCCCCTGCATCCCCCTGGTCCACAGAAACCAGTCCTTGGTGCCAAAAAGGTTGGGTGAGATATACATTAAAAAATATTTTTGAAAGTCTTAGGACCACATACCTATCCTTAACTAGACAAAAATTGGCATGAGTTTATGTGCATAGATAGAATTGCTTACAGCTTGTTGGTTTAAAATTAATGTTCGTTGATAAAGTAACAAATACAGAGACCCAATTTTCATTAAAGTTTCCTTTAAATTCATCTAACAAATCTTGATGTTTAATTTACAAGTCTCGTAAATTTTAAGACAAAATAATAGGAACTTTTATTACTCTTAATAAACTCAAATTTAACAGACTACAGTCCCTCTAAAAAGTAATTCTCTTTTACAAACTTAATAAAAAAAATTCCTTTAAACATTTTAAAGCTGCAATTATAAATCTGATACATTTGATTTTTAAGCACTTCAATTATAAATTGAATGCATTTGCTTCGTAAAAAAGCACTGCAAATACCTGCTCAGATAAGCTTACAGCCTTAATAACCAAAAGATTCTCAAGTAAATAAGTTACAAGTTTAACAAATAAAGCATAAATATATTTTGTCTCAAAATCTCTAGAAAACTCTAATATTGTTAAACAAGTAAAATTATCACACATTTCCATTTAAAGTTATACCTTATACTAATTACTTATTTTAAATGGAAATCATAAGACCACCATGGCAGGTAAAATAATAGCTCCCTATGGATCTCCACATCCTAATTCCTGTAACCTATGAATATGCTGCTACGTGGGAAAGGGAAAATTGCAAATGTGATTAAATTCAGCACCTTTAGATACAGGGGTTACCCTGGGTGGGCCCAGTGTAACTATCTGGGTGGGCCCAGCATAACTTTATTTATTTATATATTTTTTTGAGATGGAGTCACTCTCTGTCACCAGGCTGGAGTGCAGTGGCATGATCTCATCTCACTGCAACTGCCAACTCCCTGGTTCAAACGATTCTCCTGCCTCAGCCTCCTGAGTAGCTGGGATTACAGGCACATGCCACCATGCCAAGCTAATTTTTATATTTTTAGTAGAGACTGGGTTTCACCATGTTGGCCAGGATGGTCTCGATCTCCTGACCTAGTGATCTGCCCACCTCAGTTTCCCAAAGTACTGGGGTTACAGGTGTGAGCCACCGTGCCCTGCCTTTTTTTGAAATGGAGTTTTAGTCTTGTCACCCAGGTTGGAGTGACATGGCACAATCTCGGCTCATGCAAC